CAGGAACGATGTGTTTGGATTAAGATCGAGCGAAGCTCGCGTTGGAAAACGGTGCTTGAAAGAGTCCTTTCGAAATGTAGAAAAAGTTGGTAATTATGTTCGACGCCTGTAACGATCTCTGGGAGACCTTCGACGCGTTTTCGTTCCGATTTGCGTTATCGTTAGAAAAAAATATTTGTTATTCGGACAAGGTTGTTAAGATTCCTAATTTTCAAATCTTTCCGTTTTTATAATTTTACAATTTTTACGGTATTCAAATATTCCACGTCGGCAACGATCTCCAATAGTTCCGGTTTGCGTTATCGCTAGAAAATGTACCGTAAAGAAATATTATTCGAATGACATTGTTAAAATTCTCAATTTTGACATTTTTCCATTATCGCAATTTCACAATTTTTATGATACTGAAAAGATTAACACATGCAACGATCTTCAACTCGTTACGATAATATCGCAGAAGAAAAATATTTGCTATTCGACTGAAATTGAGAAAATTCTTAATTTCGAAATTTTCCACTTTTCATTAAAAATTCAGCAATCGATGCGCCAATTACACGCTCACGATTTTACACAAGTGCACAGTTGTTATCGATCGTCTTCGTCACGTATCAGAATCTCCACTATTCGTCCTGGATGCACAGGATTGAAACTTTCACCGATAGTATCGTGGACCGATTGTATACCCGAAGAATAGATTTGTCCAAATAGATGAGCAATGTGCAGATAAGCATCCATTTATGGAAGATCAAGCGCCTAACCGGGATAGGAGAATTCAAGGTCTGCCAGGGGCCTGTTCGTACAGCTGCAGGACAGGTCTGCCCACATCCATGACCAGGCTGTCTTGAAATCACGTGTGTCCACTCAGGAAAAAAAGGAAAGAGAAAATATCGCGATAATGGGTAGCCGTGGTGTGTATTATCCTTATCGATCGTAACGAGGAAATAAATCAGTTACGTAACTCCGTCGGTTGTTACCGATCCTCAGATGCGACGTCGATTTCGTTTCTAGCACCGATCCTATATCTTCGTGTGCTTACTTTTTCTCTCCTTTGGTTTTTTTAATTCGACTATTTCTTTAAAACGCGCCGGTTTGAATGAAAATTTCAATATCAACTTTAATGCCCTTAAAAGTAAGCCACGCGTTTACATTGCACTCGTTTCTTCCCTCCTTCGTCTTATGGCGCAATTAGCAAAGTAAATAAAACGTAACTTTTAATTAAGTAATTACCATACGAATGGAAATAGCAATAATTGTGTAACTCTCAATGAGGACACACGAACGCTAGTAAGTATCAGTGTGTAAATTAATGCAATAATTTCTACACTAACGTGTTTAAATCGGTGATCAAACTCTGTAAAAGTGTATGGCGAAGGAAAGTAGCTCGAAACAGTGTACAGTTTTCCATCGAGATTTTTTAATCGTTTATTTATTATACATAGATGTATATTTCTTTCTAATAATACTCTTCGAGAAGCGGAACAGTGAAAGATCACCTCGATCGATATTTTTACCATAAGTGTTCCGCTTAGTTTTTACATCGAATCCCGTAAATCATACGACAAATCTCTCACTCTATCGAGGTGCTCTGGCACAGAAAATCTATACTGTCGATCGAAAGTTTAGAATCGTTACACGTACCGAGAAATTAAAAGGAAAAATTAACGATCTGAAATTATTTACAGCGAAATGAAAATTTAAGAAGCTTATTAAATACCCTGAAACTAATAAATTGGAAAAATGATAAGAATGTCGCAGGAAAATATTTAAATATTTAAAACTTACGAATACACTGAAACTAACAAATTAGAAAATGTAATAAGAATATCACAGGAAAAATTCCATAAGAAAAAAGCCTTTCAGATAAATCGTTATCAGTGTGAAAATGCCGAGAAGGCATTAGTATTGCACTGTTATGCAAGCAATTTGAAACTTTTCAGCCGATTATGCATATGCCATTTCCACAAACGCGTTGTTCATTTCACGCTTGAAACCGTGTTCTCGAAACAACGAGCCGATTCGTTTCGATTGCAGGCGTCAGTGAATCAAATGGAACCTTAAGGAAGCGATTAGCCGCTATTTTTCGATACGGACGTCAACGTTGGTTCTCGATGGGACTTCCTGTATCACGTTTCCACGAAACCGACCTTAACGCGTTCGTAAAGTGGCTAGGTTTGCGTAGCATCTCGTTGCTTCTTATCCAGGTGAATTTTCAATAGGACCTCGAGTTATCGGCGATAAATGAAATGTATCGTTGCTCCACCGTGAACCGGAACAGGAAACTTCGTTGAAGCGTGCAGCCGCGAAGTCGATTGGAAAAAAGAGACATCGAATAACGAGGTTCGTTAACTGTTGTCCTTCGGAATACACACCGCTCGAGTAACATTAATTCTACAATCCTACTTACCATAATTAGCACTTTTTTTCGCCTCTTCAAATGTAAATAGTAGAACTATAAATCAACCGAAGCTGGACCAAAGTAGCAATTTCATCTGGTGACGAGATTTAAATAGATCTTCGTTGTTCAAACGCAGTTCGAAGTTTTTTCTTTAGCGTGCAATTAGATATCGGTGGAAATATTAATCGGTTATTCTGTTTTCATTCTTGTGAATATCAATCAGATGTATTTTGTGTTTATGATCGTTATGAGGTAAAGAAATTATCACGTTCTACGTATCGATCGTTGTAATGGGGAATTAATTGGTTTTTCTCGTAACTACGTACACCTGGATGGATCAAGAAACAATCTTACAAATTTCTGTAGAAATTGTTGAAAAGTATTATTGAAATAATTATTAAGAAATATTTCTTCAAATATTATGGAAAAATAATAAATTTTATTATCTTCGAAATAAATTATTTTTTAATAATTCTGT